TGATGGTGGTGGTGATGGTGGTGGTGTTGATGGTGATGGTGGTGATGGTAGTGATGGTGTTGATGGTGGTGGTGATGGTGTTGATGGTGGTGGTGATGGTGTTGATGGTAGTGATTGTGTTGATGGTGGTGGTGGTGGTGATGGTGGTAGTGATGGTGTTGATGGTGGTGGTGATGGTGTTGATGGTGGTGGTGATGGTGTTGATGGTGGTGGTGATGGTGGTAGTGATGGTGTTGATGGTGGTGGTGTTGATGGTAGTGATGGTGTTGATGGTGGTGATGGTGTTGATGGTGGTGGTGATGGTGTTGATGGTAGTGATGGTGTTGATGGTAGTGATGGTGTTGATGGTGGTGGTGGTGTTGATGGTGGTAGTGATGGTGTTGATGGTGGTGGTGATGGTGGTGATGGTGGTGATGGTGTTGATGGTGGTGGTGGTGGTGATGGTGATGGTGGTGATGGTGTTGATGGTGGTGGTGGTGATGGTGGTGTTGATGGTGGTGGTGATGGTGATGGTGGTGATGGTGGTGATGGTGTTGATGGTGGTGGTATGTGTCCGTGTGTGTGCCTACCATGAGGCTTTCATTCCAGTCCCGGGCTTTTTCCTCTTGGGGCTGGCACGCTACCACTTGAGCCATAGCTCTACTCCTTTTTTAGTGGATAATTGGAATTATTGACTTTCAGTGGCTCATTGTAGACAAAAGTCTCGTGGACTTCCCTGCCCAAGTTGGCTTTGACCCACAGTCCTTCAGACCACAGACTCTGCCGGGGTACAAAGCTTCCGGCACAATGTGGCCACAAGTCCTATCGTACACTTGGCCATTTTTGTTCTTGTGCCATGAATGGCCAAAACCAAGGAATGTTCAGGCTGAAAGGTCAACTTCTCACTTGTGCTCAGAAAAAAAAGCTGCAGCGAATTACTTAATAGGCAGCGGACTCCATCACCTTGCCAGCACAGGCTCTGAGAAGAACTCTGCTGAGACTGCAGGTGTGATGTGTGAAAACGAAGTTTGACTTCGTGTGTCCGTTTTCCACCAGGGCCAGCAAAGAACACAGTGAAAATGAGACACTTAGAAACTAAGACTGGATGTTAGAGAGTGGACGAGTGAGAGTGTACTACTTTTAACACTCTGCCGATATGCTATACCTAAAGTTTTGCCACGTGTATTTATCTCTGAAGTTGCGTTATTTTTCAGGGTGCAGTGAGCAGTCACCATTCTTGTGACGCTGGCTCTAAACCCTGGATTCGTTCCTGCTTCAGCCTTGTTGCCTTGCTCTGGACTCACGTAGCACCGCGTCTTCTCCTGGGATGATGGGCCTGAACGCCGTTGGATTGGCTTCTCTTTCATGCGCACTGAAGGGATCCGTGGCCCCATGGTTTATCAGCTAATCCAACAGTATTTACCAAGCATCTAGTACTCCCAAGCCAGGTGCTCACTGGGTTGGGCTTGGCTCTCGTGGAGTGGGTGCGTAGTGGATTTTAAGCAAACACCAGTCCCTGAAGATGGAGGTAAGTGCTGTGAAGGCCATCCTGGAACCGCGTACACTTTGGATGGCAATGCTGAATTGGCGCTGCTGATTTCCCGCACTGCCCCCCTCTCCCCCCCCCCGCCCGCCCCCCTTCTCGGTATCCAGATGGCTTACCATGCCACTGAAGGAGTGCCGCAGGAGGATTGCGTGGCCATAGAGCAGGGTCCTGTGGCCGCCCCCTTGTGCTGCCTGTGGGGACACAGAGGACAGAGGTCAGCATGCACCAGCCACGGCTGTCCTGACAGCAAAGCAGCACAGAGATTCCAGGGGACAGACTCCAAGAAAACGACTCATGGCAAGCCCCCACGAAATCCATTCCAGAAGCAAGTGTCTGGCTAATGCACAGGAGACCAGGACTAGAGCCATGCAACGTCGTAGGCAGAGGGCGCAGGGCCGCGCCTCTTCCCAGAATGGCCGCAGAACCCCAGAGCCCTTCTACCAGAAGCATGTAAGTGAGAAAGGAGCTGCTGGCTTACCTTCCTTTGAAACTTCTCAGAAGCATTCAGAGTGGGAAAGAGAAACAAAGGTGATGCAACTGCAGCCTAGAGACAGAAGGAGCGTGGAGGCCAGGCCCCGGCAGCTCCGGGAGCGTGGAGACCAGGCCCCGGCAGCTCCGGGAGCATGGAGGCCAGGCCCCGGCGGCTCCGGGAGCGTGGAGGCCAGGCCCCGGCAGCTCCGGGTCTTAGAGGCCAGGCCCCCGGCAGCTCCGGCTCTTGGAGGCCAGGCCCCCGGCAGCTCCGGCTCTTGGAGGCCAGGCCCCGGCAGCTCCGGGTCTTGGAGGCCAGGCCCCCGGCAGCTCCGGGTCTTGGAGGCCAGGCCCCCGGCAGCTCCGGGTCTTGGAGGCCAGGCCCCGGCAGCTCCGGGTCTTAGAGGCCAGGCCCCCGGCAGCTCCGGGAGCGTGGAGGCCAGGCCCCCGGCAGCTCCGGGTCTTGGAGGCCAGGCCCCGGCAGCTCCGGGTCTTGGAGGCCAGGCCCCGGCAGCTCCGGGAGCGTGGAGGCCAGGCCCCAGCAGCTCCGGGTCTTGGAGGCCAGGCCCCCGGCAGCTCCGGGTCTTGGAGGCCAGGCCCCGGCAGCTCCGGGAGCGTGGAGACCAGGCCCCAGCAGCTCCGGGTCTTGGAGGCCAGGCCCCCGGCAGCTCCGGGTCCTGCAGTCTCTTGCTTCCCCTTCCAGCACTGTGCTGGACTCCTTTCTACACATCTCACCTACAAGGGGTGGCTGTGAAGTCCAGGGAGCGTACGGGCAACTGGTGGTCTCCATGGGGAGACCACCGGGTGGCTCTTGGGTCTCCCCAGCAGCTGTGGCCGTTTGCTGGGCAGCATCCCCGACCGTGGAGGAGGAGGCGTGGAAGGAAGAGACTGCCCAGCATGGAGCCACTGGATGATGAAAAGCCACTGTCCTGTGCCAAGTCAACCTCCCAGGCTTTATTTCTGTAGCATACTTTCTCCTGCTTTGTCTTGCGCCTGGTCTGACCCACTTTGCTACGCTGAACTGAGCAGCACAGGAAACGCAACGCAAACGCAACGCCCTCAGTTCCACGTACAGGTGACTGGGCGGCGTGGGCGGCGCAGCCCGCAGACAGTGCAGGCTTTGGCACCCACACTCCCGGCCTGAGCAGCGCATCATCGCGCAGGCCAGAGGCAACGCGTTTGATCACACAGCGGCTCTAGCAGGTACAGAGCCCAGGCTCGGCCCTCCCTAAACACACAGAGGCGTGAGAACCTGAGAAACAATGTCAAATAAACTCCGGTATTCTCTAGTAGGTCAAGGGCAGTTTTTAGGAAACCCATTTCAAGCTGAGCGGAGGCCCACGGGGCAGTGTGAGCTTCTGCCATCTTTGGCACTTCCTCTCCATCCACCGCAAATCGGTTGGAGGGAAGAGGAGTAAAGGTCTCAGTAACAAGGCCACACGTATCCCGAATTCAACACCATTTGGATGAATAGAATCACTCCGTCAAAGACGGCTTTTCATATCATACAATGAGCCTACAGAGAGAAAAGATAAATGTGGTACCGCGTTCTAAAAAGCTGATAACTAACTACAAAAGTGCCGTGCCTTTCCCCTGACAGCTACAGAGATATTTAAGTGTTCTTCAGATTTGAATATCATGCAGGAATTACAACGCTCTTTCCAGTAATTCTGAATTTCTTAAAATCATCTGCATTACCTTTAGCTTCTGTATTTACAGCTAACATCTTAAATTTACAACTAGTAAATAACTTGCACATCTTGTCAATCTGACTGAAATTGTGCTGTGCACCTGTGCTCTTATAGGTTAGTTGATGCCTCCCGGTCGGCTGGCCAGACCCACACTGGACAACGGGCCGACATGGGTCTCCTGGTCTCCTCAGTGGGCTATGGCCCCACCGCTCCCCAGGTCTTTGGCTTCCTCTCAGGTCTGTAGGCTAGCTAGCCCTAGACAGTAACACGGAGGAGCTTGGCTCCTCTCCTCTGCACTTCTAGAAGCATCTCAGAAGCTTCCTGTCCTTACAAGTGCAAAGTCCTCTGAAACCCTGCATTGGGAGTTGGAGAACTTTCTCTGAAAGGCTGGGTAGCAAATATCCGTCTACCAATAGCCTGCTCCCCATCACTGTCCACTGTGGCCATGCCGGACCTCCTGTCACTGCCGGCAATGTGTCCCTGTCACGGGGCCGTCCATGTCTGTTTCCTGCTGCCCAGAGTCCCCGCACAGCCAACCTTTACCCTTTATTTATATCACTTCTGCGCTTCCACATTTCATTAGAGAAGTCTTCTCTACTAACCCTTTGAAAGAGAACCGCCGCTCTTAGCCTATTTATCTGTTCATGCTTCATTCTTATGGAATTTATTAGATGATGTGAATCCGTGTGATTTTCTGTATGTACCGTCTTCCTTTCCTGGAAGTTCAATGAGCAGTCAGGCCATCCCAGGCCTCTTCTCATTTTATTTTTATCAGGGCCTGGCATGAGGAGGAATGTAATCATCCGGCTTTTCCTAAGAGGATGAATAAATACCTGGATAACGTGATCTTCTGTTTCCATTTTTCTGAGAGGAAAGAGGAGGTCTAAGGGACGTAAGGAATTTCCCGTGGTTGGCTCCCACACTGTGAGTTGGAACTGAACTTGGAGCGAGCTACACGTTCTACTACAGTTGTCACTGTTTGGCAGAGTTCTGGAGCGGCATTTTAGGAAGGATGTGGCAGGGCATGTGGAAGGGAAGAGTGTGGGAATCTGCCCTCGGTGGGGGCGGGTCCGGGTCTCGGCCATGACCTTGCTCAGGACGGCAGTCCTGTCCCGGCCGTCAGTGACTGGCTGTCATCGCTGGCAGAATGACAGTATCTGGTGCCACGTGCTGGATGGAGAGGTCAGGGAAAACCTGGTAAAGATGCTGATGTCATGTCCAGAGGACAGGTGTCATTAATTCTATCATCTCACCTGAAATTTCAAGGTTCATTTCCATCACTGGCATTTCTTGGTTGGAACTCAGGGCCTGGTGCTTGTAACAGGCCTCCGCCACTTGAAGCACGCTCTATCCCTGTTTGCTTTCGTGATTTTCCAGATGCCTGGGGCCCAGCTTAGACTGTGAGTTTTCTGTCTACACTGTCTTGTGCACGAACGACAGGTGTGGAGTTGGCTACGGACCCACCCCATATCAGGCTGCTCTTTAAGATGGTGGCTGAGTTCAAACCACAATCCTGGGATTTCAGGAAGACGCCACCATGCTCAGCTTCCTAACATTTCTTCCTGTAGTTCCCAGAGGACAGACACACTCTGCCAGAGGGTAAATTCCCTCTAGCCACGCATAAATGCGTCAGGACAGAGACTTCAGAGCCCTCTCGCCTTATGAGGTGTTGCCCTTGACGATTGTAGGCCGTAAGAAGCATGCCGTGTTCCCAGGAGGGCTCCTGCTGAATCGAATGTGACCACCTAAGCTTAGAGGCCATGCTTCCTGCCTCTGTTCTACTCTTAGGCCATCAAAGAAAGAGGAAAAGGAAAGTCTAAGGTCCTAGAACATGATGAAGGCCCTTCACATGGCCCAGGGATTTTTTCCTTTCCTGTCATACAAGTGATAAACAATAATCCTGCCTTATAAAGAGCACTTAGAGCCAGGCGCCAGTGGCTCACGCCTGTCATCCCAGCTACTCAGGAGGCTGAAATCTGAGGATCGCGGTTCAAAGCCAGCCTGGGCAGGAAAGTCTGTGGAACTCTTATCTCCAATAAACCACCAGAAAACCGGAAGTGGCGCTGTGGCTCAAGTTCGCCTTGAGCTGAAGAGCTGAGGGACAGCGCCCAGGCCCAGAGTTCAAGCCCCACGAGCACAAAAAACAAAAAAAAAAAACCACTTAGAAGTAGAAAAAATATCAAGTAATATGTTCAGTTAGAAGAAAATAATGAACATTCAATTTATTGTTGTCACAAAATATTAAATTTACTTTGGTGAGTGTAACTTTTATAATAAAACACTACTGCATAAAATAAATTTTGATTTGGTAAAATAAAGGGGTATAATTTATCACAAAAGGAGAAATGTAAATGCTTATTCTCCTAAATTCATTTATAAATTACTGGTTTTAATTAAAATTACAATAGAATATTTTGAGATTCAATAAACTGCTATTCAAATTTTCAGGAAATGCAAGGAAGAAAAGGAACTGAGTTTTAAGAAATACTGTGATGCAAAATTAGTTCACTCTGGTGTGGATTCCCAAGGAGGGAGCAGAAGATGGCCAGTTCGAAGTCTCTAGATACGGCGCGTACACTGGTTTTAGGGGGAGGAGGAGACACTGTGTGTGTGTGTGTGTGTATGCATGTGTGTGCATGTGTGTGTGTGTGCATGTGTGTGTGCATGTCTGTGTATGCATGTGTGTGCATGTGTGTGCATGTGTGTATGCATGTGTGTGCATGTCTGTGTGTATGCATGTGTGTGCATGTGTGTGTGTGTGCGTGTGTGTGTGCGCGCGTGTGCATGTCTGTGTGTATGCATGTGTGTGCATGTGTGTGTGCATGTGCGTGTGTGTGCATGTCTGTGTGTATGCATGTGTGTGCATGTGTGTGTGTGTGCGTGCGCGTGTGCATGTCTGTGTGTATGCATGTGTGTGCATGTGTGTGTATGCATGTGTGTGCCTGTGTGTGTGCGCGCGCGTGTGTGTGTGGTGTGTGTGTGTGCGTGTGTGCGCGTGTGCATGTCTGTGTGTGCGTGTGTGTGTGTGTGTG